TAAAAATCTTAAAAGTCTCCAGCTCACTTTAAAAAATGAAGAAAAATTGCACCCGACTGAAGGAGGTTGCAAAAGTGATAACTTTTACTGAGTGTTTTTTCTACAGCCTTCACCGGGAAGTGTGAAAATTAGCTTTAAATTTTTCTTTTTTCTTTTTTTTTTGCGCACAATCAGGAAGTATGGTGGCGTAATAACGTCTAGGAGCACCAGCAGGCTTGACCACTGGTTAAAGCCAATGAATATGCTGCCAGCTGGATGGCTGAGAAATCATAAATTATTCACCTATAGACTATAAATTATTTATATGATTCAGCGAATCAACGTAGGAAAAATAGGAAAAGCATACTTGATAGAAGTTTTGACATATCCTTGATGTTTTTTGAATTCTTCGCCAACTTAATCAAATCTTTCAGCTCTTCAAATTTACGATCTTTCTGTGCCTTCACAACGCGCTTCTGTCCCTCATCTTCGCTATCCGATGGATATGCAAAAGTAGCCCTGGAAGAATGTCAGAGATGGTAATAATAGACACAAAATCCGCTTTTACTAAAAAAGCCACCGCCCGATGAAAAGCAATTTTTTTGCATGCAAACTTCGGATGATTCTGAGTCTAAAAAAAATGATTTAACTGAACCCAACAAAAGAATGAGATTAATAACATACGCTGGTCTTTTGATCGGTATATATCGCTCGTCATCGCTACTTTCGGAACCAGACGAATCAGAACTTGATACTGCTCCCTTGAAAAATTTCGACATCCTTTCGAAATCTGAAAGTAAACTAAACTCAAAGTACAGGACGTCATTTGTAAACGCACTCAAAAAACCGATCTATACATTTTGCGTTACTAATATAGCACAGATATACGATAATTATATATATGCGTGTGTGTTTGTATAATGTTTGTTTGTATAATGTGTGTATGTGGGTGTATGCATTTGTGTGTGCATGTGTGTGTGCATTTGTTTACATTTATATGTGCTGTGTGTACGTGTAATGGAGTGAAATGAAGCAGATAATGGAGTGGTACCCGCGCACGGTCAAGCGAAGGTCACCAGTGAAGTAGAGAGACACCCTGGCGCCCCTACACAGTATTATGCGGACTCGGAGAGCTCAACAACCAATTGAATGGAGAAGTTGCCAGCTGCATCAATGGTGTGACAACGAACGTCGATGACATACAGCTGCTCAAGTTAATATTCAAACGTGTACGTATGTGTATGGGTGTCTGTGTGCGCGTGTGTGTGTGTGTGAGTGTTTGTGTGTATGTTATTATGTGCGCATCCTGACCACGTATTTGTATTAACTCCTATGTTTAAGACACAGTGTTCACTACGTTTTCCTTTTTAAGTTTCAGATCAGCTCCCATCCGCTGGGCGTTAACGTATTGCATGATCTCGTTAATTTTGGTAAAGTTACCCGCAATAACAAGTGCAGCATATACAACTCAAAGATGGCCCAGTTGCTCACCACTGATGTTCAGAACACTTTTCCAATTCATTTGGTTAATATCTACTGTTTTTTCCAACATAATTTATTAAATGAAGCCCACCCTAGTCTAAAATTTTCGGACTGTGGTCGTTCCATATTTTTCATGTTTCGAACCGCCAGCCTGTTTCAGAAATTACGGTTCGGCCTACCAATGGGCCGTAACTTATTTTAACAAACTTATCCCACCCTTCGTTTTAACTTTCTGACTTCAGCTGCTCCACATTTTGATTTCTTGGATCATCCACTTGTTTTAAGGCTACGATTCGACCCTCTAATA